AGGAATGGTAGCAAAAGCTTCTTTTCCTCCTAAATTGACTGCTTTACTCTATAAAACATGATTATGGTGCTTTATTAAGTGAATGGAAACCAAAACAAAACATGATTAAGTTTGTAATGCAGGACCTTTGTTGGACTGCTATAGCTTCCAAAAGGATAGTAATACGATGGGGACTGGTACAGAGAAAATATGATTTCTAGTTTCCATAAGCAGAATAACTGATTGAATCTCAACACATTTTGCTAATTTTATGACTTTGTGACCAAAATTATTAAATGAATATTGGCCATAACTAACCTGGTATTTGTATTTCACTAGATATTAGATATGATGCTGGTTTTCTACTTAGTATCCATGTGCATACGATAGAAATGTTGATACAGTTCCTTCTTCTTTTTTTTTTTTTTAATACCAACTTTGGTTCTCATACAGTTTTATACCCTCTCATCCTGACATTATGGCTCAGGTATTACTTAATCCTTCACTGAATGCCACCTTCAAACTTTCTTTATCAGGATTACCAGGCCATGGTAGCACAGCTTGAGCACCAATTCCGACTTGGAAGAGACTATATCCAAGGATTGTGGTTTTATTGTAAGGTCTGACTGTCTTTGTTCAAGACAACCATTTTAAGAATGTTCACTAAAAGGGATTTCACCTTTGTATTGGCAGCCCATGATGGGGTCCATGCAAGTATTGTCCATTGTGATACAGAAGGCTTCAGCCAATAATTTGGCTGGTTCTGCAGTGCTTAACTTGTTGCAGACCCAGGTAAAAGCTTTTCTTAATTTATCTAAATCAATGACTTCTTTTTCTAGGATTTATCATTGTTCACACTTCAAAATTTCTCTTACATTGGGAATATTTGATATCTTGTTTCTCTTTTCCTGATATGGTTTTCTGCTTCCAGGCTAAAGCTATGGCTGGGGATAATTCCATCAGACCATTGTTAGAGAAGATGGCACAATGTGCAAGTAATGCATACCGTGGCATATTAGAAAGGTAAACCTCACAATTCCCTTGATTTTGATTTCAAGATATTCTACTTTTTATTTTTAATGCTTTCAAAATCTTTAATGCTTCAAATACACATTTTAGATTTATAACAAAACTATCATGTCAGAAATGTATTTGGGCAAAAGAGAATCACTCTACAAAAAGGTTTCCTCATCATTAACAAATGTGCTTAAGTACTCCTTGATTGTGTAGATTGGGTTGATTCTTGATGGCTAGTCTTGAGATCCTATGCATACAGGAAATAATATTAATTTCTTCTTGATATGGTTACATTACATTGTAAAATTTCAAGTTTAGTATCTACTAAAACTATATCCACATTTCCATCCATAATATTTCTATTTTTCTGAATAGGTTCCCTATAAGACTGGAAGTTGTATATTGAACATTATGTCATGCTTTTGTTTCGTGACATTGCCTATCCTTAATCCCTATGGCATTTTAGTGATTTCACTCTTGTTTGTACTAATTCTTCATAAATTCAAACATATTATAGCTTTTTACTTTAGATTGCTAAATCTTAATTTTGAAGCCAAACTAGTTAATAATGACTTAACATGAAATTTTTAGATATATTCATTTCCTATATGTTTCTTTTTTTCAAGCAGAGTGATATGATAATTAGACTTTTGTCTTTGTGACTGACTTTTTGCTCATTTGGCACTCATAAAAAAAAAAATATATATGGGTGGATCTATGAAGGGGTGATTGATGATTCAGATGGTGAATTCTTCATTGCTGAGGACAGGTCTCTTCAGAAGGTATATTGACTTCATTCCTAAATTTGAAAGCATCATATAAGTTCTTAAAATTTTTAAATTTTATGGGAGAGCCTTGCTCAGGATTATGATGCTAAGTATTGATGCAACATTACAGTTTGAAGGATGACATTCCTAGCTTCCTTGTAAATATTTTTGGGATGATATTGATCACTGGGAAATATCTAAATGTCATGCGAGAATGTGGACACAATGTTCAGGTATAGTTCTTTAGTGGTCCTGCCTTTCTTTCAGGGGAAAAGAAAAAAAAAAAAAAGAAAACTTTTTTACCATCATTGTCTAGAGTGTGTGAAAGCTGCATATGAATTTTCCAGTGGTGAGCTCTCAAATCTCATCAAAGAAAAGGTAATCATCAATTCAGTCTCAATGAATTTTTCAGATATTTGCTTTTTACCTTATGCAATTGTTAGATATTGCTTTATCTTTGTCTGATATCCTATTGATATCAGTTAATATTGCACTGTGATCTGGTGGGAAAGCTGTGGTCTATAAAGCACTATCTTCTTCTTGATCAGGTAAAATTACTTCAAATTGGGAAATCTGGGATGGAAACAAATTACTTAAAAAATGTCTGTTGAATATAGTTGCTCAAGTTGGCTATGAGTAATTTGGACTAGCATTAAGTACTTTAATATTTTTGCGCATAAGTTCTAAAGACTAGTTAGATTCCCCTCTTATTTTTTTTTTATTTATTTTTTTTTTTGTAGTATCATGCATAAAAATTGGAGCTCAACTGAGTTAAATGGTTTGGATTATGGTGCTAGGTGTAGGGGTAAATTTAAAGACCATCTTGTAGTTAGATTGTGCAAAGGCCTTCATATTGTAGACTGGTTACATCAAGGTAAATTTTAGAAAATGATCCTGAGAACTTCTCTTGGGAATGCTTGCCAAGAATTTCTCCTTGCATGGATGAATTTGTTGTGGAAGTCATGCCTTCTGCATGGATCCAGCAAATCTTGGCATAAATAGTCATGCCCTTTCTCTTTTTATCTTTTTTTGAATGGGTTGGACAGTCGGGATTGTTGGTAGTGTGACTCTTTTGATAGGCTTCGTAATCAACATGAGATTTAAATGTCTTTGATAAGGTAACTTTTTCAGCTGTTCTAATAAAAGTTTTAGAAGATTGCAGGGTGATTTCTTGGTTCATTTTATGGACATAGCTCGAGAAGAGCTAATGAAAAAGGATGATGAGATTTCTGTGGAGAAGCTGCTGGTTGTACTTATCTCTCATTAAATGTTGTATAGGTTACATAGATTTCGATCCTTTTTATAGGAGTTCAAAACTCAGGAGAAAATGTTTATGACAGTCATGATTGCTAAAATATCTTAGTATTTGCTGCTGCTTTGAGTATGTAGTCTCTATTGGACCTTGCTTTACGTACTGCAGCTGCTGCAGCCGATCCTTGTCATGAGGATTTAACATGTTTGTTGTAAGTAAACCTTTCTCTTCACTTGTTCATCAATGAAACTTTTGGATTGAATCTGCATTAAATCATATTTTATGTTCTACTCTCAGGAGAGATCTTCTTTGCTTAGAGGATTGGGCACTTGAAAAGATTCAGATACCAAGACAAGCACTGATAGTAGCCATCCAGAGGAGCCCTTAAGCATTACTGGTCTTGAGACATTTTCTTTGAGCTACAAGGTTTGTCCCAAGACCTTTTCTCCCATAAGGATTATTTCAGTTACATGGTGACATGGTTGATGTACCTGTAGGATTAATTGCAAATCCCCCACAAAGTGTATACTTTAAATTTAGGGACAGTGTTAAAAGTATTTTAAATACTTTTCTGCAGTATTTTTTCTGGGTTATGTTGACCCATCCGTATTTTTCAAGATAATAGAAGTATAGAATGGGAGGTTGTTAGAATTACTTTTTCTGGTGGCACATTAGCTGGTAAGTCAAATAAGAGTTATTATTTTGATATTAACCTCATGGTATTTGGTAATTATATTGGATCATGACTAATTCAGAATCGAACCGCGTCGGATCCCATTAGAAAGGAAGTTTTCCTCAATGTCTATTTCTCTATTTACAAGACTCGAATTTAAGATCTTGCGAGGAATCAAATTCCTTCCACTTAGACAAACAAATTAGACAAACAAATCATTAGTTTCACTTTGATACCATTATTATAAATAAAAAATAAATCAAAAATAAATTCTCCAGGTGACTTTGGATTTCTTGTTTAGTTCTCTTGTATTAGTTACCCTGTTCCCATCCTCATGTTTCTGATGTTGTCTGTTTTTCAGATTCGGTGGCCATTGTCAATTGTTATATCAAGAGGAGCCATAGTAAAATCCCAGTTAATTTTCAACTCCCTTTTCTACGTGGGATCGCCAGTGTTGGAGAACCGGCCCAGCATTGGCAAGAACCCAATATAGGCCCAAATAAAGAATCAAACAATGATAATCCATGTGATCGGACCAATTGAATGATGGTATAGGGTACAATGTTACAAATGAGAGTTATAAATGAAGGTAATAAGTATTTTTTTTAATTTTATATAAAATAATAATTTTATTATATTTCTCTCTATATAATATTTTAATTACAAGAGTTTCTCTCTTTAAAATATCGGATATTACTAGGTAAATGTTTGGAGTATTTTTTAAGAATGTTTTTTTGTTTTCGAGATTTTCAAGTACAACAGTACATGAGTTCGTGAACTTTTGGCAAATGCATCAAGCATGGACTCG